CTCCGGCATGAAGTGCCGCCAAGGCGATGCCACGAACGCCTACATCCACGCCAAGAGCGACCGCGAATTGTACATGGCGCCGCCAGATGGGTTCGAAGAGAGAGGCATGGCCTGGCGCATTCTCGGCGCCCTCTACGGCCGGAAACAGAGCGCACTGCGCTGGTACCAGCACTTCAAGGCCATCTTGGAAGCCCTCGACTTTGCTACAGCTGTGTGTTCACGCGTCGAGTCTACGTGGACGACGTGCTAGTGTGTGCCAGCAATGACGACGAGATCACAGACGTGTTCGAACACCTGCAGCGGTGCATACGCCTCAATGACCTTGGCCCCATCAGCAAGCTGCTCGGATGGAGATCGCCGCGACGAAAAGAACAAGTCTATGTACGCCACCCAGAGAACGTACATCGAGCGAATGGCCATCAAGTACGGCATGGACAAGAGCAAGCGCGTCGACACGCCCATCCCAGCCGGCACCTGTAGCGATGTGACAGGTGGGTTAACGGCTTGCCACCACCTTGCCCGCACCCAGCTCCTAAGTACCTGGCTCATGATGCACCCTAGCTAATGCTTGCCTGGGAATGTGTCTCAAGGGCAAGTATGGCTTAGAATCGCTAGCCTAGTGAAGTTCCCCAATGTCTCAACCGCACCCGCATCCATTGTATACAAAAGTGCATATTAGTGTAGAAGTAGTGAAGTAGACTAAGAAGATTTCATAGTGATGAGGATTAAGGAGATCTTTGTAGATCTTCAGTTAATTCATTGTGCATTTTGCCCTCAACTACACACGCTTCCTCCCGCAGTGCTACAGCACCATCATGGTTGATAACGCTGACTTTCCGTTAGACGACGACAAGCCTTTCCGGCAAATCGTCGGCTCTCTACTATACTGCGCCATGTCCACGCGCCCCGACATCGTGCATGCCGTGACGCAGCTCTCCCGCCACCTGTCGACTCCGCACCAGCTGCATATGCTCATGGCCAAGCGCACCGTCGCCTACCTGCTGCACACCAAGGAAGTCGGCATCACGTTCCACGGCCAGCCGACTGGCAGTAGCGAACTCATTGGTTTCTCGGACTCCTCATGGTCCGACGACCGACCCACCGGGCACTCAACCTGCGGATACCTTTGGATGTTAGCATGTGGACCAATCTCTTGGAGATCCAAGCTCCAAGCCATCGTCACGCTCTCCTCGACCGAAGCAGAGTACGTCGGCGCATGCCTCGGCGCCCAGCACGGGATGCACCTCGACAATCTCATGAACGAGCTCGGACTCAAGGCTAACGGCAAGACCGTCACCCTCTACCTCGACAACCAAAGCGCTATCGCCATCGGCTCTAACCAGTCCAGCGTTCAGCGCACCAAGCACCTAGCATTTCGTTTCTACTTCCTCCGTGACCTAGTCCGCGCCGGCAAGTTCAAGCTGGTCTACCTCCCAACGAACGTCATGCCTGCCGACGTGTTCACTAAGCACGTGACAGGCGACAAACTGCGAGTAGCCATGCGCTTCATGGGCATGGGAGGCTACTGTGGTTTCTGCCCATAGGCGCATTACTAAAGGCGCATGGGGACGAGACGTTACGACCGCACGACATTCAACGGCCAATCAAGTCCCATCATCAGAAAGTACACTGTACATACATTGCATACATGACTGCATATTAGTTTACCCGGCTGTGGTTATCAAATCACTGGCTGCCAGACTCCTAGCTAGCTTAACCCTTAATAACTCACTTGTAAACTCACTTGTTGTCCCTATCGCGGCATACGGCGACCAAGACCTGCAAGGAAAGTCAATACTACCTCCAGACGGAAATAGAAGTCCCTTTTCATTCTTAGAGGTTTATTCAGAATTAACCGGAATTAATTACTTTATAGAGTCTCTTTATATGTATCCGGATACGAGTCACGATTTTATACTGATTATATTAAAGACCTGCATTAATTTATATTCTGTACAAAACATAGTTTAAATTGTTGCTGACTATTTGTTCATGCTGGTAGAATGCATGCAAACCACAAACATTCATAGAGTAGAACCCCCTTATCCATTAGGGTATTCATCTTTAAGGTATTTATTATATTCCACAGGGATACGAATCATACAAAGGCCTTTACAACAAGCATACTTAGGGCAAAAACAGATAACACCATCAAACAAAACACCAATTTTACCAATTTTCACCAAAAGGGACTTCTATTTCCGTCTGGAGGTAGTAGTAGGGGTTATCTAAGTGGTTAGCGATAGCGAAACCTCACCACTTACTATGTAGTACTTACTACGGTAGGGGTTTAGTGCATCTCCGTGGGAAGCAATAGCAAACCACTACATAGCGATGCAGCTAAACCCTGGGATTTAGCATCGTATGTACTCACCGGAGTCCCAACCCAACGTTACAGGGTTACGGGCGGAAAGGTGTATCCAGGTGGGATAATACTAATATAATCCAACATATTTTACCAATACTACACTGGTCCGTAATGTTTGTACCATTTGTGTTCTCATTGGCGGGATTTTTCTAAATTACCACGGATTGTGGATCTAATTGATGCATCGAAAAGCGCAAGATCTCATCTTTAATTGGTTAGTTTCAGGTCTTTCCAATTCGTTTTGCTTGGAAAATGGTACCCTGCCAATGAGGCGGGAGAGTTTGCAAATGTACGTTTTGACCCGTCAGTGATTCATTTTGCAAAACTACACCACTAAACTTGCACACATTTGTTTGTGTATGCCAGCGCATGTCGACACCTCTTTCCCGCACTGCTGGCGATTCATCAGGGCCAGTGCCGCGGTCGCGAAATCTTACGCCGATCCAACGCCGCGTTGTGTACGAGAAGCTTCTCGAAAGCTTTCGTGCTGAGAAGTTGCCCTAAGGTGCTTTCAAGGAAGTGTCTCTACTGTTTGGTTGTCACTGGAAGACAATATCACGCGTCTGCACGAGGACGTGAGTCCTTGGACGGCGGCGGCACTTTGGCGAACGTTGCGTCCAAAATTCCTGGTATGTCCTCTCATATTCAATATTTCTACCTTGTTTGAGAGTTATCAATTTATTCAATTGTATATTTTAAGGAAATGTCGGTAGAAAAACTGAAGCGGTCGCACGAAGAAGTGGAGGCAGCGATCCGTGCTGTTCCCCACCACTCTCGACAAACGTTGCGGTCGTTGGCAGCTGCCTGTGCCATCCCCAAGACAGCCATCGTACGACACCTGAAGGCAGTCGCTCGTTTCAAGGCCTGCTCTAGTTATGTCAAGCCGTTCCTCACTGACGACAACAGCCGCACCCGGATGGAGTATGCAATGTCGTTTCTGAACCCTTCGTCGAGTGGAAACCATATTTTCCCCGGCATGTACGATTATGTGCATGTCGACAAAAATGGTTCTACTTGACGAAGGTTAAGAGAAGATATTACGTTTACGACGACGAAGTCCTCGCCTTGCGCTCCGCCAAGTCCAAGTCCTTCATAACGAAAGTGATGTTTTTAGCCGCCGTTGCTCGCCCGCGATACGACTCCGGCCGCAAGCAAGTCTTTGACGGCAAGATTGGTGTTTGGCCGTTTGTGATGAAAGCGCCGGCAGCTCGCGCGAGCAAGAATCGACCAATAGGTACCATTCTTACGGTTCCTCTGATCGTCAACGGCGACTTATACGAAGACGTCGTGTTCGAGAAGTTGGTCCCCGACATCAAGAGCAAGTTTCCAAGAAGCGTCCAAGGGCAAGGGATCTTTCTCCAACAAGACAATGCAAGTCCACATCAACGAGTGACGTCAAAGCTCCTTGAGTCTCGTGGTATTCAAGGCGTGAAGATCGGAAACCAGCCTGCGAATAGCCCGGATTTTAATGTTCTCGACTTAGGATTTTTTAACTCGATCCAACGTCTTCAGTATCAAAAGTCTACTCGTTCAATCGAGGAGCTTATTGATGCTGTTGAAAGCGCGTTTTATGAGTTGCCAGTTGATACCCTGTCGAAAACCTTCATTACGCTTCAAAAAGTACTTGAAAGGTCAATTGGAATCCAGGGTAGCAACAATTGCCAACTTCTCACATGAAGAAGGATGCGGCAATCAAAAACTTATCGATATTCGACATTGAATGCGAGGCGTCTACATATGAAGATGCTTTGGTTCATTTGAATTGTCGTCTTGGCGAAGAAACGCACATGGAGTGTCTCATGAATTCCCGTGATGAAGTCGGTAGCCCAATTGAATAAAAATGCATTATATTTTGTTGGTGCAATATGAGTTCTTGGAGTTCAATACAAAAATCTATATGTTTCAAACCACCAATGTATACTTTTACCAAGTCAAACACATGGTACAAACAATACGGACCAGAGTAGTAATCAAGATCATACATACAGTCAAAAACTGAAAAGTCAAAATATGCCTTTGTGGTCCAAGTCAAAGGTGTGAATTATCTGAACCAAACGCGAATGTCTAATTATCATACATACTCTCTCGCAGGTACAGCCTACTAGTATACCTCTACTGTTCCCTTATACCGAACGTTTCTACGACATTCCCGCAGATACACTCGACTAATTCGATTGCACTTACGCGAATCCGTTGGGCGATCAATATGTTACCGAAAGCCGTGGGTGTAGGAACACTTTTCGCAGTTTGAATTCGATTAATATTTTACCTAAAACTGTGGGTGTAGGTTACTTCCGCCGGTTTGAATTTATCTTCTGTCCGGAGGATGTACCCAAATTTATTCGCAACGGTTAACGGGATTTTCTGAGTGCAACACTAACGGGATCAAGTCGCTACGCGAAATCGATTTGCAACAGTTGAGAATTCGCATTGGAGGCCACTATGACCAGGAGATCGTCGCACCTTACACGTTTTCTGCATCTGCGTGGGGGTGCGCGACCTACCGCACAATAGCGGAGGTAGGCTTGCTTGTGGTTTTCGTGAGGGGTTCGGCGCATTGCCGGGGGTTAGCGATAGCAAACCACTTGGCGATGTGCCAAACCGCGGAAAATGAAAACTACAGTTCGACCTAACTAATCTAGGTTCTTGGGCGCCAGGGTTCGGATGTTTTCAAGCCTCTTCATGGGGCACGTTCTTACGCACACATTACGATTGTTTCGAGGTACTCAAGTGATATCACATGCCCGAAGCACCTTTCCTAATTCCTGCCAGCACGCTAACGTAAAAAACCAATTTAAGATAACTCTTTTGGAGGCGTCTGAGTAGAATGGACAAAACGTTTGAGTCCTTTACGATGTTTGAGTAGTGATTCCAATAGACAAGACGCGCCGCTTTCACTTCATAATCGAATTATCAGTTTAGACAATGAACTTCACAGGTAATTTGTTACTTTCTTAGCATTTGTACTGACATTTTGATAACCAATTTAGGATAACACTTTTTACCTTAAAGTATGTATATGTCGGAGCATTGATATTCTGTGTTTAGGATAAGCGGTAACAACAGGTTTCATATACTTATAGAAGGGGTATTGTTTTATAGAGTAATATTTCTGATGTGGAAGGATGTTCACTGAGTTGAACACTCGACAAAACCTCAGATCCAACCCAATGTGGCCCGTGTCGACTACTAGTAGGGTACTTCAAACCCAATCTTGAATGTTTGTTACCAATGGCTTCTACGCCGTTTTTGCATTTCATTCACGTGACGGAACGGTCAGCATTATATGACAGAGGTTTTGACTCGAACAAATAAAGAAGTGTGATTGGGCAATTCAAAGTTAACCTAAATTGGTCAAGTTATCTTAAACTGGTTTTTTACGGTTAGCGCTGCGGCGTGTTTCAATAGTACTTCCCTTTATCTGGGTATTTACGAAACAAACTACGAAACACACCTACTACTAGTAGTACTAGTAGTATCATTGATGTGAAAATCGACCAAGCATTCACAGTCAAGAACAAGCATTGACCGCTGTCATGCCGGACCAACGTGAACCAAGGTACATTCCACGATCGACACTCCTACCTGATGCATCTACACTAACCACAATGTTAACATGGTCTAGAGCAATTCCATGAAGCAGCAGGGCCCACAAGGACCAACAAGACAACGACGCGGCGGGCCGAGTTGGGATCGGGACGGCGAGCAAGGTCGTTGATCACCGAGGTACGTTGACATACTACGCGCAGTTGCTAACATTCACTTTCTTCAGTAGTTTAATCTGTCAATCCGCTCACTACAAGGCCCACAAGGCACACAAGACCGATATGAGAGCAGCCACGATTGTCGCTCGACGTGCCGGGTACCTCGTATAACAAAGTCTATCTATTCCATTGAGGTAAATCAATAAAGCTATACAGCATTGCTAACATGTGAGCCCAGCATCCAGATTGAATTATCGCCGGGCAGCAAGAGCTGTAAGTTGTAGCTTGATTGGCGACCATTCATGGAGATTGTAACTTTGGCTGACTATGCAAATCTCTCATTATTACTTTCTGTATAGAATCAAGCATCGAGCATTCGATTCAAACCACTGCAGTACAACGATCGTAAGTATTGAATAAATAACTCATTGTCAACATGATCATGGAGTGATGCAAAATTCGTTGTAAACCCAGTAATGTGATGGAAAAATCGATGTAAAGCCAGTAGAAGTATTTATATGACCTTATTGTTTGCCTAAAAGATCGTACATAGTATGGTAGCTCATTTCAGTGACACGTCGTTTAGCAAGTTGTGCCGGGTGGTGTTCGCCAAATATTTCTTGGCAAAGGGATGCAAATGCACGCTCGTACAGTGCGTTGAGCTGAGGTAATTCCATTGACCCCACAGCATGTTCGGTGCACCCTGCAAACAACACAATTGCTGACACTACCTTCTTCACTTTGACAAAATTCGATTGGTCCTTCCGAGTTGCAAAATGTTTAGCGCACAACTGGCGGAGGGGTGGGAGGTTTTGATCCTTGTTTCCGAGCCAATACAAATTCCAAAGGTCGTACACCTTTCCCGAGGGACAGGTTAAGGCATGAGATGCGACCGCACGTTGAACCCACCACTGTGTAGCAGGAACTGCAGCATGACCATCGGTTGATGACTCCGTGCTTTGCGTTGGTGGCGCCGTGGTGCTGGTTGATGGTGGGGGTGGGTGGAAAGGGGGATGCAGGGAGGGAGGGGGGGGACAATTTGGAGAGTAGTGATTGGCCAAAATCGTGCAAAGTGTGGCGCAATAACCCCATCGTGACAGGTTTATCGCCAGGCACACCAGACTCAATTCCACTTCGAATTTGTTGAGGAATTCTACTAAAACCAGTTTCCAGCGCGGTGTTTACACTAGTTATCGATTGCTGCATGTCACGTAGCTGCTGGTAGAGTGGTACATGGGGGGGATTCCAGTTGCCACCATGTTAGTTGCAGGGTTGTGCAAGTTACCCACATACACGTTTGGCAGTAGTGCGGTCAGTATCCCGGACACCCAAGCAGGGGAAAGAAACAGGGGGTGCGAGGGATGGAGAGTCCTGTTCAGCCAATCGTGATGATGCACCAATGAGGCCAAGAGAAAAGGGATGGCTGAGCGAAACGACGGGGAATAAAACGTGGAATATCCTGGCAGGATTTGTTCCCACAGCGCGGGCGTAACGACTGCCATGTTGCCAAAATGGGGGGGCAAAATACCGAACTTGTCGTCGTTCACATTGAGGCCTTACAAATTATTCACATAATCTAATAATTAATATTTTGGCAATACCTGTTGCTGCGCGGCCAACAAATTGGTCTCCCCCTGAACCCTCGAAAATGTACTGACCTTGTACACTGCCCAAACTCCACCCCGCACGGAGCCAGATCGACACTGCCTGTGGACCGCCAGGACAGTTGGACAAAGAACTGGCCACACCTTTGCGAAAGGAGTGAGTGCCAATATCCGCAATGGCCAAGCCCATCGACACGATGTCGTCTTCAGAGTTGGAACACGTGTTGCGGAGCCAAGTTGAAAAACGTTCCTTGGCATTGTAGCCGAACAAGAGGGACTGCGAGCCTGGGAGGTTGGCGCCACGAGTAAACAACAAAACGGCCAAACTAATGAAAACACAATATATTTAGCACACACAAAATACAACTAACTATATATACCTCAGCACAGGGCAAATTTCAGGGTTCAATGGGTTGGCGTACACATGCCTTGCGAATGACATCTGGCCGTCTTGGTCATTCTTCATTACACCGTACTGAATTTCAAGTGCGTCGTCTACAAATTGTGAGAATATATTATTAATATATGAGTGCTAAGGCTGAGCTGCATATTTTTCCATGACACATGCTCGTATCGAAGCGTGGACGCTGAAACAGCTCGTGCCATCAAGTTCCAACACAAAACCAAGAACGAATGAGCCGTGATGTGCAATGCATAATCTGTTTTGGATGTCAGTGCAGCGGCCGCCAAAAACCGATAACCTAACAACAATTAATATACATATATCTACCATACAAGAAA